GTTCAGTAAATATGCACACTTTATGGCACTTTCACACCCTTATACAGCTCACACAGTCGTTAAGACCTTTATGGAATCAATATACAAACTGCATGGATTGCCAGCGACCATAGTAAGCGATCAAGACTCCATTTTTCTTAGTCAGTTTTGGAAGGAATTATTTAGCCTACAAGGGGTCAACCTTCATTACTCCACAGCGTATCATCCTCAATCAGATGGGCAAACTGAGGTCGTCAACAGGTGCATAGAAGGCTATCTCAGGTGTATGACAGGGGAGATTCCTTCATAATGGTGTAAATGGCTGGCTTTGAGTGAATGGTGGTACAACACCAACTTCCACATGACTACAAAGTTCATCCCCTACAAAATACTATATGGGTTTTCACCACCAATACACATACCATATTTCTCTAAAGACTCAGTAGTAGAGCTAGTTGATCATTATCTTCAAACAAGGGAGAAAATGCTACAGACGGTACAACAAAATCTACTCCAATCCTAGAACAGAATGACACAATTGGCTAACAAGAAAAGAAGCGACAAGGTCCTATAAGTGGGCGATTCAGTTTACTTAAGGCTACAGCCCTACAAACAGAAATCAATGCTTCAGCATCACCACAAGTTAGCAGCTAAATACTACGACCTGTACGTAGTAATTAAGAGGATTGGGGAAGTAGCCTACAAGCTGGACCTTCCATCATCGTCAAATATCCATCCAGTTTTTCATGTCTCTCTATTGAAAAAGAGTGTGGGAAGTAGGGTGGTGCATAAAAGCTTACCAGACGGACCCAGAGAACCCCTGTTACAGCCACAAGCCATCGTGGATCGCAGGATAAGCAAGAGAGGTCAACAAGCGGCTACATAACTCTTAATCCATTGGCAAGGGTTGTCCCCAGTAGAGGCCACCTGGGAGTTTATAGACAAAGTAAAACTCAAGTTCCCAACCTTCAACCTTGAGGACAAGGTGGTTATTAAGGGAGAAGAATTGTTGCAGGTAAACTTTACGTGAAAAAGGTTCAACAAGAGAAGGCATTTAAAAGAGAAGTTATCATTACAAGTGATTCGCACCGTTTTACTTACTTAAAATTACCTTTACTTAATACACACCGTTTCAATATATTTATAATCTAGAAGGTACGAGACCCTGTTCTCGCTTTCTATTCACGCCTATATACAGAGGCAGTTGTAACAGAATAGTTTATGAAATATTATTCTGTCCTCCTTCTCTGCATTCCTAAATTCTCTCATATTCTCCCTCAATTCTGCTCCTATCTTCCCTACCTCTGTTAAACTTTTCACCATACAATTACTCCTTCATCACTTTCTTTCTCGGTTCGTAGATTTTAGGTTTTAGTGATTTTTGTGACAACCGCTGTGGATGTTTACATTTTCATTTTTGTTTCTCTCTTGGGCTTCTTATATGTTATCTCTTTGCTTTGAAAGGTATGATCTTTTGCAAATGAAAGATTTGCTTGACTTCTTTGTCATCGAGAAGCTCAACCTTGATGGTAAGAAATATAACAAAGGTTTGTGTGTTTTTTTTTCCTTTCAACCCTACTAGCTTTTTCATTATATTATTTAGTTTGATCACTTTGTTTTTCTCAGTTCTTTTCTGGGTTGTTAGTACTTGGTAGTTTTTTATTTGCTAAAGGTTGATGCTTTATGGTTGAGTTCAAAACTCGATTAAGTAGAAGAACTTTTTTTACTATGTTCTTGGTTTTGTTTTGGGATTTCTACTACTATTAAGTTGGTATGAATAAAAGGGTCTTGTTTCTCTTTATTTTTTTTCCATGAGGACTTGAATTTAAGTTCTTCGTCGATATCTTGCAATATAGTTTTACCATTAAGAAATTAATGTTTGCTTTGATCTCTACTATAACGGGGTTTTTTCAAATATTAAGTAGTTTTCTTGGAATGAATGTATTATTTGGCAATTTTCGGGGTTGAAATTTGAACTTTTATTTTGAGATATCTATATTGTATGTTATTTAACTGAATTGGAACTAAATCCCTTCCTACTTTAATTCTAGTTGGTTTTATTCGAGTTTCTAATTGGCATATATTGACTTTCCTTTGCAAAAATTGATAGAACTAATAAGACTGGTTGGCATATATTGACTTTCCTTTGCAAAAACTGAAAGAACTAATAAGACTGATAAACTTGTGTTCTTATGTACCTTTTTCTAGACTAATTATAGTTTATAAACTATGTTTTTGCAGTTTCTCGCATTGTAGTTCGTAGTGAGAAGGAGATTTGTATATGCTGCTTGATGTTCACACGGAGATTTATCCTATTGAAGAAAAATCAAGATATTTAGTCCTATTAACTAAAACATTGAACACTGATGGCACTCCTGTTGACCCTCATAATGCGCAGGTAATCCTCTTCTCTCTGTTTTGGTTTTTGGTTATCACTCTCACATGTTTGGTGTTGAGAATGACTTAGATCCTCTGTATTCTTATGTTTTTTCTACATGTTTGCATTTTATTCCTCCGCTGTATTTGTCTTGGTTTATTATTAGTACTAACAACATAATTTTTTTTCACTTTTTTTTCAAAGCCATTGACAATTACCTGGTTTTTAAAAAGTACAAGTCATATGCTGTTATTACAACCAGCCTATAATGATAGAATAACGACCTTGCAAGTTTATTAGTTGATTTGCATGATGTGAACTTGTCTACTAGTTTGCTAGAGAAAACCAAAGTTCTATTGTTATTAGGTCACTAAAACAAATTGGGGCTGATACAATGATCTGAGGTTATGTGTTGGGGTAGGATCTTAGCAATAACATACTTGAACAATGTAGTTGAAACAAACTTACATTATGTTAGTAATGTTTGTTTATTTGTTTCTTTTAATATTGTGATCTTACAAATCATTTCTATTATGCTGCCTACTTGTTATATCCTATCCTCTTACAAGGTACGCAACCATCCAAAGAAGACAAATTTGAGTATGTGACACACGAGAAACTTTACAAAATTAACAAGGAAGGTTCAGGAGCTAATTTCAAGTTGTATGTGTCATACCTATAATTACATAAAAGTCGCTTTCGTTGAGTCTTTTTAGAAGTCATAATACATCTTCATTCGTAATAGATTATGGGATAGCTTATTTCATCCAGGTATATAGCTATTGGTCTTCTAACTGATATATATATCTCTTCTTTTTTTTTTGGCTTTAGGGAGATCTACATTTCATTTGGTGGACTTCAACTATTGCTGAGGGGGAGTCCTAGCTCGCTTGCCAAGTTTCAGCTTGATAAATCCTATTTTATATTGATGAGGAAGATGTAGAGGCATTAAAAGTTCTGTATAATTTTGTACTTGGTTGCATGTCTAATGATTCAGCTATGATGAAGTTTCAATTACATATAGTCCAAGAACTAAATGATAGGAAGAAAGTGAGGTTTGTAGAATCATTTTGTGCTCTCTTACGAGTTGTTCAATTAAATCTTTACTGTCGCTTTTAAAAAAATAATTTATTTTATTGGTTTTATTTTATTTATTTTATTTTTAGATTATTTTAATATATTGGTATTAAAAATAATTTTTTTTAAATAAAAAAATATTATTTTAATAAATTTCTAAAAAATAAAGATAGTAATTAATAACAAGATGCTCAAGCAACCTATATGCTTAATTTCAATAAATAAGTCCACTACTATTGATTAAATAATCTCATTATTCTCTACTTAATAGTTGTTTTTCTTATTACTATTTCACACCAACATAATTATAAATATTAATTTTTTAAAATACAAGATAAAAAATTATGATTGATATTAAAGTAAGATAAAATCAATAAAAAAATTATTAATAATTGAAATATGATGTATCACCAATTATGAACTCATTATTTAGACATCTTCATTTTTTGCAAGTTAATAATCAAAGGTTAATGATGATAATTTTTGAAGGAAGATGTTAATATTTTATTAAATTTGTTTAGATGTTATTGTCGTGAAATATAAATTTTAAATTGGTTGATTATCAAACTTAAAAGAAATATGATAATTAATCATTTTCCTTTTAATTTAAGGTTGCATGACAAATAATTATTTTTTATAGTAATATTAATATTATTATTTATACTAATTATTAATAAATAAATAAAAATAAGTCAGGATAATGAAAATATTTTTTAAAAATTGTGAGATTGTAGAAAATATACCAAATAACCATTAACTAATTGAAAAACTAATAGAATAGGAAAAGAAAAGGAAAGGAAAAAAAAATGAAAGTTGGTAGGGGCTATATGTGTGACCTAGAAACTCAAAGAAAAAAAAAAAAAAAAAAAATTCTAGATCACGTCCCTAATATTCCGGCCGAGGATGACAATTTTATCCAAAATGGATACTAATCTGAATTTACTTGAATGAACATGAGTTTTTTTGTCTATTCAAAATCAGATAATACCCGAAATTAAAAAATAAGGTTCGGATAGGGTATGGATATTGCTTCTACACAACCCGAGTCTCGATTAAGACAATTACATTTGTGCCCCCCTATATATTTGGAGTGAAAAATAGGGTTTCTCAGTTAGCTCTGCAGGCAATCTTCCCTTCTCTTTCTCTACCCCTCTTGCTCTCTTTAGTGTTCAGTCTTTTCCAATCTCCGGTAAGCTCCCACACGCCACAGCCAACCTTCCAAAGTTTCAATTATTCTTCAATCTTCATCTCCATTCGCCAGATCTTGCAAACCATTAGCCCCCTCCTAAGCTCCCACACGCCACACCCAGCCTTTCAATCTTCATTCTTTAATCTGCATCTCTAGATCTTCATTCGGTCTGTTCTTTCAATTCCTGTTTTCCTTCAAAAAAAATTTTCTATCGTTTTGTTTCTGTTCATTGCCATTGTTACAACACCATCCCTAACTTCTGATTGTATGTTGTACAGGTACATTTTACAGCTCCCCTAGGCCTCGGCAGCGGTCCATATAAGCACCCTTCCCTTGTATCTCCTCTGCAAAGTTCACTTCTTTCTTGTAAGATTTCTCTCTGTCTTTCTCTGTTAGGTTTTTTTTTTTTTTTCGTTGGAGGCTGGTGGCTGAATTCTGGCGTTCCTGGGTAATAACATAAAGAACAAGTGAATTTGAAAACTCAAATATATACATATAGATAAGTCTTAACTCATCCAGTATGGTATCAGAAAAGTCAGGCGTCACTGCAATTAAAAGTCAAAGAGAAGAAAGCCTAAGACTATTTAATGATTGCATGAAAGAGTGAAAATCACTAAGGAAGCTAAAATAAATAATTTTTCCCTACATTCCAATCAGAAATAACCATTACATTTGATCGATGAAAAAGATGAAATGACTCTGTAAATGGCAAGAAAACAGCTAATTACACTAGGTAGTATTGATGAAGTTGAAATCTGAATCTTTCAAAGCCATTGTTGCTTTATTAAATGCTTTTCCTCCTTAACCATATCTAATGATGTTAATTCAACCATAAGCCGATCATACTCCTGTTGAACATCTCCTAGTTCCCTTCTTACTGCCTCACCTGCACAAGTATGATCATCAGCTTGATATTTGATTAATCATCAAAACATAACTTGTCATTTCTAGTTTGGATGCCAAATGGGAATCAACAAAACTTAAAATCATTTTCTAGTTTATTGAACGTAGATCCCCTATTGTAGTTATTATTAAAAAAAAAGGCTTTCTAGAATGATGGAATTAAAAACACAAAGTCTATGATTATACCATTCCGCTGATTAATACAGACAGGCAGGATCCATACATATATACTGAGATGAATAATTATGTGTGTAGCATCTCCAATGGACTGCTATACACTTTCAAGGGTGATAAAGATGCTTATTGAATTTGAAAAGGAAGGAAAACATAGAAAATGCATGTAATTATTAATTGTGGCATATAAAATACCTTAAGATCAAGGTCTTCCCTCCTTTTCACGAATGCAAAGCGAAAATCTATTATTAGTCCCATAAACATCGTTTTCACTTTTGAACATGCCTACTGCTTTTGTGATTATGCACAACTTTTTTGTCTTCCCTTTTATAATCAACAATGACAAGATCGTTGCATTGTAGTTGGTATAGTAGGTCACCAGAATGGTCTCATTTTTTCTTATTTTTTTCAAAAGTCTCCTGTACATGTTAAAAGCAGGCTCTACTAATTTTTTTTGTTGTTGTTTGTTCTCTATTGGACTTGTCCCAACATGTTTTTTCACACATTTAACTCAAAACTTTGTCAAAGTGTCATGCTTCATGTTTTTTGCGTATAAACTTGACAGATTAAGACATGTTTATAAGCATAACTAATGAAACATCGGCCCTCTTTTGTAAGACCTGTTCATTTGGATAAAAAGAATTGATGTCTGAATTTTCCTTCTCTTTCAAAGTGCAAAACCTGTTGTTGTTGAAGTTTGATTCAATACACAGAAGAATGTATCCAACCTTGCGGTGTAGAGATTCATTTATTTTTATTTTATGTCATGTTTACACTAAAGCATCATAATTTGTACATCCCTGATAAGTAGTCTAGACAAAATAAGAAAGTGTAATATTTAGATATGAACCAAAAACTATTACTGATTAAACAGGATTTGATTGCAAAATATTTTTTCATTAACCAAACCCAAGTCCAAACTCATGAGTCATGAGCCTATAAGCTCATAGCCCAATCTACAAGCTATTTTGGGAATAGTTTGAAACTTTTGCTATTCAAATTCAAATGTTCATTTATATTAATTTCTCATTTATTTTTATTTGGTTTTTTATAACATTAAACTAGTAATGTTAAATCACAAAATTAAACATGGTTTTAACCTGAAATGGGAATGGATCTCACATATAATTTGGCCTTAGAGGCAGTTCTAACATTTGTTAGAAAACATAATGCAAGATAGACGAGAGAGATAGTTTTGGCTTACTGAATATTGATTTAGGGTTGGACAAGATTTTCTTTTTATACCTTTTTTTACGTGCTGGTTTAACCGGTTCGTTTCAATATAAATATCAATATAAATACCTTTTTTTTCTAGAAACGCGAATAAACCAACCAGAATTACAGTAGGTAGGGATTTAGTGCCAATTCAGTTAAATAACATACAATATAAATATCTCACAATGAAAGGTCAAATTTCAACCCTGAAAATCGTCAAATAGTACATTTATTCCAAGAAAACTACTTAATATTTGAAAAAACCTTGTTACAGTAGAGATCAAAGCAAACATTAATTTCTTAATGGTAAAACTATATTGCAAGATATCGACAAAGAACTAAAATTCAAGTCCTTGTGGAAAAAAAATTAAAGAAATATTTAATTTGGCCTTAGAGGTAGTTCTAACATTTGATGCATTTAAAAAAAAAAAAAACACTTTGAACCTCAATTGCTACCATACTTTTAAACACTCTTCAAAAAAAAAAAAAAAAAGCTGGGCCGTAGATGAAATTGGGCCGATTGAAATATTTAATAATGATCCGAAGCTCAAAACTTTCATAAACTGGGCCTCAAGTTGTTCATTAGAAATCCCTGATCAACCGACATGTGGTATACAAATAAACCCTTAAAACACAGAAGGGTTTTACCAAATTCAGACCCTCTCCGTCTAGCTCTTGGTTTGCTCTTACTTGCTCTCTTTCTTTCTCGATTCGTAGATTTTAGGTTCAAGCAATTTTTGTGACAACCGCTGTGGTTGTTTACATTTTCATTTTTGTTTCTCTCTTGGGTTTCTTATATGTTATCTCTTTGCTTTGAAAGGTATCATCTTTTGCGAATGGAAGATTTGCTTGACTTCTTTGTCATCGAGAAGCTCAACCCTGATGGCAAGAAATATGACAAAGGTTTGTGTTTTTTTTTTTCATTTGAACTCTATTGGCTCTTTCACTGTATTATTTAGATTGATCACTTTGTTTTTCTTAGTTTTAGTACTTGGTAGTTTTTTCTTTGCTAAAAGTTGGTGCTTTATGGTTGAATTAAACACTCGATTAAGTAGAAGAAGGTTTTTTTACTATGTTCTTGGTTTTGTTTTGGGATTTCTACTGCTAGTAAGCTGGTATGAATAAAAGGGTCTTGTTTCTCTTTAATTTTTTTTCCATGAGGACTTGAATTTTAGTTCTTTATCGATATCTTGCAATATAGTTTACCATTAAGAAATTAATGTTTGCTTTGATCTCTACTGTAACGGGGTTTTTTCAAATATTAAATAGTTTTCTTGGAATGAATGTATTATTTGAAATTTGACCTTTTATTGTGAGATATTTATATTGTATGTTATTTAACTGAATTGGCACTAAATCCCTTCCTATTGTAATTCTGATTGGTTTACTCGAGTTTCTAATCAGCATATGTTGACTTTCCTTTGCAAAAATTGATAGAACTAATAAGACTTATAAATTTGTTTTTGTTTGTACTTTTTTTGGACTAATTATAGTTTGTAAACTATGCTTTTGTAGTTTCTCGCATTGTAGCTCGCACTGAGAAGGGGGATTTGTACATGGTGCTTGATGTACACACGGAGATTTATCCTATTGAAGAAAAATCAAGGTATTTAGTCCTATTAACTGAAACATTGAACACTGATGGCACTCCGGTTGACCCTCGTAATGTGCAGGTAATTCTCTTCTCTCTGTTTTGGTTTTTGGTTATCAGTGTGACATGTTTGGTGTTGGGAATGACTTAGATACTCTGTATTTTTATGTTTCTTCTACATGTTTGCATTTTATTCCTCCACTATATTTGTCTTGGTTTATTATTAGTACTAACAACATATATTTTTTTTTTCACTTTCTTTTCAAAGCTATTGACAATTAACTGGTTTTCAAAAAGTACAAGTCATGTGCTGTTATTACAACCAACCTATAATGAGTGACCTTGCAAGTTTATTAGTTGATTTGCATGATGTGAACTTGTCTAATAGTTTTCTAGACAAAACCAAAGTTTTATTGCTATTAGGTCACTAAAACAAATTGGGGCTGATACAATGATTTGAGGCTATGTGTTAGGGTAGGATCTCAGCAATAACATACTTGAACAATGTAGTAGAAACAAATTTACATTATGTTAGTGATGTTTGTTTATTTGTTTCTTTTAATATTGTGATCTTACAAATCATTTCTATTAATGCTGTCAACTTGCTGTATCCCATCCTCTTACAGGGTAAGCAACCATCCAAAGAAGACAAGTTTGAGTATGTGACACACGGGAAACTTTACAAAATTGACAAAGAAGGTTCAGGAGCTGATTTCAAGTTGTATGTGCCATACTTGTAATTACATAAAAGTTGCTTTCGTCGAGTCTGTTTAGAAGTCGTAATGCATCTTCATTCATAATAGATTATAGGATAGCTTATTTCATCCAGGTATATGGCTATTGGTCTTTCAACTGATATAGGTATCTTTTTTTTTTTCTTGGCTCTAGGGAGATCTACATTTCATTTGGTGGACTTCAGCTGTTGCTGAGGGGGAGTCCTAGCTCGCTTGCCAGGTTTCAGCTTGATAAAAACTATTTTATGTTGATGAGGAGGATGTAGAAGCATTAAGAGTTCTGTATAATTTTCTACTTGGTTGCATGCCTAATAATTCAGATGAAGTTTCAGTTACATATAATCCAAGAACTAAATGATCGGAAGAAAGTGAGTTTTGCGGAATTTTTTTATGGCTCGCTTACGAGTTGTTCAATGAGGTCTCTTTGCTGTTTTGTTTTTAAAAGAAGTTTGATTTATTTTTCTGTATTTTTATATCAATTTAACATATTAGTATTAAAAATAAATTTTTAATAATAATAAAATATTATTTTAATAAATTTCTAAATAATAATAATAATAATTAATAACAAGATGCTCAAGCAACCTGTATGTATAATTTTAATAAATGAGTCCACTACTATTGATTAAATAACCTCATTATTCTCTACTTAATAGTTGAATTTCTTATTACTATTTCACACCAACATAATTATAAATATTAAAATTTTTAAATACAAGATAAAGAATTATGAGTGATTTTAAAGAAAAATAAAATCAATAAAAATTATTCATAATTAAAATGTGATAATATCATCAACTATGAACTCATTATTCAATCTTTATCTTTTGCAAGTTAATCAGTAAAAATCAATTATGATAATTTTTGAAGGAAGATTTTAGTTATTTATTAAATCTGTTTCGGTGTAATTGTCATGAAATATAAATCTCAAATTAATTGATTATCAAACTTAAAAGAAATATGATAAAAACAAATCGTGGGTTTGTAGGAAATATACCAAACAACTATTAGCTAATTGAAAAACTAATAGAATAGAAGGAAACTTAAAAAAAAAAAAAAATCAAAACAAATTAGAGTGGAGGATCCGTCCTTTTCATACAAATATACAACTTCAAGGATTAAAGTGAAAAATCTTAAAAGGTTAATAAATATTATAATGAAGTAATTTAGTATAAAATAATGGGATTTATATCCATCGTCAAGAACAAGAATGAAGATTAGAACATGAATGAAGATTATCGGCAAGTGAGGTTCTAGTCTAGTGATGAGAGGGACTTGTCCTCTTCCTCCGCATCTAGGTTCGAACCTCATTATGCACACCTGTCATCCGTGTGGTGCCTTACCTGCTCATTAAGTTTGCAGAATGTTCAGTAGGTTATGAAAATGGAAATTAGTCGTGGTGCATGTAAGCTGACCCAGACACCCCACGTAAATCAAAAAAAAAAAAAAGAAGAACGAAGATCACCGGGTCACCACGCCATGCAGGTATCAATAATTTCTCAGCTGCTCAGCATCAAAGCGTCTTGGCACTAATAAGGTGAAAGTCCCGTTCTCTAAACTGGATTAATTTTGTTCTTACTTGCTAAATAAATATTCAGTATACATAGAGATGGGATTTATTTATTTATTTTCGTCTATATTTTTATTCTTATTCAAATCTAAAACATTTAAAACATTCTCTATATTTTCAATATATATTTTTTTTTTATTTTTTTTTAAACACAAGCCAACTATAACATATATAGAGCACACGAGCTTTGCACTCTGGGCTTAAGTTCATGCATCAGAAACCCTCCAAGCAACTCCTACTTTCTAGAGTACAGATGAAATTACTGGGATAAAGGTTAACCATAATTGTTGCGAGTGCACAAAAGAAAGAAGAAACAAGGAAGGAGAAGTCATGGGACAACGATTTTTGAAGTACATCCAAGAGGAAAAGTTACTGAGGAGGTAGCATACAGACAACATGCTCCCAATCAGAAATGTAAAACTGAATAAACAGAAAAGATCACACAAGCACATCCTACAACCCTTAGGTACCTAGGTTTCTTCAGTCATCAGAGTTGAGAACCTAAATGGTGCCACCAGGCTGCATGGGTTAAAATGCCACTGATCCTCGGATAAGAGACAATGACAGTTCTAAGGGAACAGTAGATGGAAACTGGGGCTCAATGAAGTATCTGGTGGGTAGCATCAAGGATTATGTTCTTGTGCAAGTAGATGACTTCAATGTCGTAAGAGCTCTGCAAAACCACAATCATTCAAAGTGAGTTGTACTTTCAGCTCAAAACTCCAGATTAGAAAAGACGATTCAATATATGACCAGAACTGAGATTAAGGTTTGCAATGGCATGCTATTCCCATGAATACAGGCTTTCAAAGAAGCTAAAACTTGTTCACTAAAACCTAGCCTGTAATCTCCTTCAATTGTGTGGCATTAATTCTGGTTTTAGCCATATATTATGTTCCAAAGGTGTTTTGGTCCCCCGCGTAAAGCATGTCAGATCATTGCAATTATTACTGCTTGTGTTACAGCCGGTAAGTGCAAAAAAGAAGAAGCAAAAGCTGGTATAAATAGAAGGATTTGAGGAGGTAGAAGGTAGACGTCTACCAGTTGAAAAGAAGATAACATGACTTGGTCATCAATTAGAAACAACTTCACTACCAAGAGCCCATCCACTGATTATTTGTCATGCAACCTACAGGTTTTTTCTATAATTCTATATTGAGGTTAGGCTTTAGCCCATCCACTGATAAGAGCCCAAATACTCTTATTTCGAACTTTTTTTTTGTCAGGTTGACTCTCCCGAACCGTGACCAAGACCCGGGTCACCCTCAGGTTGGGTTTCGAACAAAAAATAATTACGAGAAAGGAATTCCACAACGTAGTGGCTAATAAAAAAAAATACACCCAAAGATTTTATCACTCACACATATGATGATTTAATTATTAATTTTTATACATGATTTAATTATTAACTTTCATTCTAGTGAAAAGTTTCAACAATGTGTGGTGTCCAATAACACCAAACCATTCCCAAAAATATAGAATTTGCATGTCACCATGTGCACAAAGCAAAAATGTTAACCTCAAATAATTTCAACATGAATTTATCCGACAAATACATCATCTGCATATCACCATATGCACAAAGCAAACGCAATAACTGCACGCCAAGAAAATACATCATCTCGGATAGTTCAAACCCAGAATTATCCGACAAATACAACACATGCACATAACATGTGATCAGGCTAAACTTTAAATACTATTTATTTTACAGCTAAACCCTAATTTACCTTACAACAATGTGATCGCGCTTGTTAAACTTATCCACGAGTAAAATAACCCAAAAACACATGTATCACTAAACATATAAATCAGAAACCACATAACAAAAGCAAACATGACAAGAAAATAGAAACAATCAAACGCAAAGCAAGGAAAAAACAAGATCAAGATTAGGAAGAATCATACCATCCACTTGAACTGGGCCGATTTCCACTAGATCTGGGTCTAACGAAACCCAGATTTGATTCATCACCTCTCGTCATCGTCTCATACCCACCTGACTTGGGCCTTCCGTCTTCACCAAACCGACCCGGAGAACCGAAAAACTGTTGCTGCTGCCTTTGACCCACCTCCTTACCCCTAAAAACCTCGGGTCCAGGCCTCTCCTCCCTCCCAGCAAAACCCGGTCTAAGATGTGGTGGCACAAACTTATCCGGTTTAGGCGACCCCAGACTAGCCCCAACCTCCTTCTGCTTCTCCTGTCCACGAACCGGAGAAGAAACAATCGAACCAGCCCCGGTTCGACCTAAAGGACGTAGAGAAATACGGTCCTGTTCCGGTTCAGCCCCTGTTTGAACCGGGATTTGAACTTGAGCTGGATGGCTTGGTGGGGTTTTCGGAGAGGGAGTCAGTGGTGTTGTTTGGATGGTGGATATCGGTTTAGGTGTGGGTCGGGTCAGAACCAGCATCCGCCCATGGGTTCGGGTTGATGAGGATGGAAGATGGCTTTTGTAGAGATTGTTCGGGCTATTAGGTGATGATATTGTCGAGTAAAAAGAAGTGGAAGATGGATGCTTTGATGGGTTGTTTGTGTTATTAGAAGAGGATGAATTGCTTATGTTTTTGTCATAAACATGGTTAAAGTTAACGGAGGCATATTTATTGGCTCTTGCCATCCACCACCAGCAACCACCACTAAGTAGAGTCTTGTGTGCTTGTTTTCAGAGAGAAAAAGGACGGATCTTTGGCTGCTATTTTAGCTCCACAGAGGAAAAGGTACGAGAGAAAATAGAAGGATCGGATCTTGAAGTTAAAAGGAAAGAGAGAGAGAGAGAGAAAACCCGGTTTTTTTTTTCTTTTTTATCGTGAAAAGAATTGAGAGAAGGGCAGTCCGCGGTTTTTAGGGAATGGTAAGGGATCGATTTAAGCAGTGGTTTTCAGTTGCTTGCGTGGCGAAAAGTTAGTGGATTTGAGAGAGAGAAACAGGAGGAAGTGGCAAATCCAAACACTTGTGTTCCTGGTTCGCTGAATATACTAATTGCGTGTCAAACTGTGATAGATATTATTTTTAAAAATATATTAAAAACTTAATTTAAATTTTTTTATATATATAATTCAATCACATTTCCAAACCTATCTTATAAAAATTTATTAGCTTTTACGTATAATAATTTTTTTTTTCAAATTAAACTTATATAATTATTTAAATTTAAAAATCTCTACTCAGTTTTTTTTTATATATATTTAATTAGTATACTGACTTCATTATCAAAGTTATAAATTAAAGATATAATAAAACATAACAAAAAAATTTTGATTTTTTAATCAATATTAAATTAATTTAAAAAATCATAATTTTAATACTCAGTTCGATCTAAAATTAGGATTCTGAATTTTAACTGGGTCATAAAATTTTGACAGGATGATCGGGTCGGTTGGATTAAATTTTATTTTTTTATAAAATCAAAACTATATTATTTTAATAAAAAATAAAAAAATAAAAAATTAACGGGTTTGTAACCGGGACTCTAAGTCACACCAAATTTTTCTTTTCCCTATTTCTTTTTTAATCTAATCTGATTTCAGTCTCGGGTCAGCCGGCTCTTAGATCAATCTGCCGGGTTTCAAAACCCTGTAAGAAACTCATAACTTAAAATTATAATTGTTATATTTTATTTTATAATAAATATATAAAAATAATTTATCACCTTGGAATACTAAAACATAAAATTAAATTAAAAAATATTTTAAATAATAAATTAAAAAACAAAATAATTAAAAAAAAAAGTTCCAGTCGTGTTTGACTGGACTGAACCTAAAAAACCAGGGGCGGCGGCTCGAAGGAGGACCATACACTTAGCCTCTCTCTCTTTTTTTCTTTGTATAAGGCACCTTTCAAAAAAAAAAAAAACGACAGGCCATTTAAGTAAAATATTCGTTGTGGGGGATTCAAGCCCGTGAGTTTAGAAGCACCCCCACATTTGAGTTGCCACGTAATTTTTATCTAAAATAATTAGAATAATGTATATTAGGAATGGAGGAGTCGAATCCATGACGACCACGTAAGCACCTCGCACCCTTCAACCAATTGAGCTATCACAAAATTGCTGATTGTTTAGAATAATATATTGATAAGTTTTACTGTTCAAATAAACAGTAAAACGGACTCTTTAATTTTTTAAGTTATAGGGTTGTTAATTCCGTTTTATTTTTTTTTGAGGTGACTGAAATATTTTATATTAATTTGAAAAATAAAATAATTTTTATTTTATTTTAAATTTTGATTTGTTTTGAATTTTTCAGATAAATTTTGGTAGAAATATGTTAATTTTATTTTACATATTCTATTTCAGGCTCAAAAAACTATTAAATAAAATTAATTTTTTATTTAAATTGAATTACTTTAAGTTACTTCTATTTAATCTTGACTATTTAAAAATATTTTAAATTTTAAAATTATATTTGTTTAACAATGTATTAGTATTGCATAATGACATGCTAAAATGCTCCAAAACTAAAATATTATATTCTAATTGAAAAAATAAAACTCTTATCGAAACAGAATTGCCAACTTTGGTTGGTATAATATGTTGGAGCATGCTTTTCAAAAGAATTTTTTAATTAAAAATATATTAAATTAATATTTTTTATGCCATTAATATATCAAAACTATTACAAAATATATTAAAAATTAATTTAATATATTTTAAAGCAAAAGGTAGTTTGAAAAGCATTTTAAAATGCAATTTCAACTAAAAAAACAAATACCTATCAATATAATTTGCAAGATAATCAATTGTTTTGTGTTTATTAAAATGGTTAAATTTGGACCAAAACTAGGGTAATTATTTTCAGTTCAATTTTGTTTTTATCTATAAAAACAACCAAACTGAAATTTTGTGAAATATAAAAAATAAAACTGAAACCGATTCAAACTAACCGGTTTTGATTCGATTTGATTATTTTTTATTAAAAACTAAAACTCAACTGACCTATTTTGGTTATGTTCAGTTTGGTTTTGGTGCAGTTTGGTTCGGTTTTGGTTTGGTTTAGTTATTTTATATTACAAACAACAAACTATATTGTTTTTTTGGTTTTTTTTTTACTTTCTAATAAGCTTGGTTTCGATTTAGTTTATTTTTTGTGTAATTTTTTAGTTTCAGGTTTATGAAATTGAAACCCAATCGAATATTTATCGGGTTTTTTTCATGGTGAGGTTTTTTCAGGTTTTTTTCCACCCCTATCTGAACACAAGAGGTTGATTAAATCATTATTAAAGGTGGGTTTCTAATTGAATTGAGTTAAACATTGATTTGATAAGATTAAACTAACCCAACTAGGTTTATAATAATCTCATCAAACGTAATAATCTCATCAAACTTAATCTATGATAGGAAAGGTCAATAATAAAGAAATTAAAAAAAATAACAAAGCACTTTATTTTAATAAAAATAGTTGACTCAAATTAATCTAATAATTCACAGGTTTATTCGATAATTTGGAGATTTAAGCTTTTTTCTAAGTCAATTTTGGATCAATTTTTACAATTGATGAATAAATTAGTTTCTCATATTATAGCATTGAATATTTGAATCTTGAGAATAGAATGTGATATTAATAACTTGTTTAAAGTTCTATCTGTATATGTGTGTGAGTGTGTGTGTGTATGAGATGACTTAATCATTATTAAATAATGATCATATCCTAAAAAATCCAAGTAATTTAAGAACAAGACTTATATGTTAGATAATCAGTTAATTTTTTAGTTCTGACAATCAGATCCATTCTCATTAGCCAAGATGGCTGATGGTTGATGCATAATACCTATAAAAGATCTTCTTTAATGAATTTAAAGATTCTTTGATACTTAAGTAAATATCTTTATGAGAAAAAAAGACAATGATATTTTAAAGAAAGACTCTGAAAACAAATATGTAATAGAGAATAGAGATTAATAACCCTCTTCTTTTAAGGATCTCATGGGTCTTTATAGCCCATTATTCTTACTTTTTGGTCGAGATGAAAACTAAAAAGCCATATTTTTATAATAACATTAAATCATTTATTATGTGTCAAAGAATGAAAATATTTTTGACTCATTAAAGGAAAATAAGTTTCACTGATCAGAGAAAAAAATATCTTTGACTCAGTATCATGTAAATAAGTTTCACTGATCAGAGAAAAAAATGCGGTCCACTCATTGAGTGTAATAAGATTCTTAAAGCCACATGTACTTAAGCTTGACAGTTGGTTAAGCCTAGGAATGCTGGGTCTGATAGCATTAGCCTTGGATATACTTAGGCTCAATGCTTGACTGAGCCCTAGGATACCGGATCTAGTAGTTCACCAAACCCATATGTATTTAGGCTTAGTGCTTAGGTGAATGACATGACCAAAGAGTTAATGTCTTATCCCAAATGCAGGATTGTCAAGATAATAAATAATCCGACAATATCGAGGTCGAACTGCAGGGAGGTTAACTGTATAAATTATAAATAGTAATAATAAATAAATGATGATGATGGTCATGATGAGTTAAAGAGGACTTTGAGATGTAAAATTAATGTAAAGATTAAACAATAATAAAAACAGTTATCAAGGTTAGAGGATCCACTAATGATATTTCAAATAAGTATAATATAAACTCCTTTTATTACTCATATGAAAATCACATAAAAAAAGTTCTGATCGGATGATTTGTCATTAATAACTCATTATAAATTATTAACATGATCATATTAATTATCTTATTTAAGTAATATCAAAATTTTAAATATTGTCAGGAATTCATGATGTCAACCTATGTTAACAATAAATCAAGTTCCTTTCATAGCACAAATGTAGATTATACCATACGGTTGGCTATGAAAGTAACAAACATTTGTTGTACCAAGTGTTAGACAACATAAATTTAGATTAACCATTTAACAAGCAAGATATTAAAAATTAATAAGATAAAAATGATAAGACATGTTAATAGTAAAATTTTTTAGGATATAATTATTGAAGTCCATATTGAGTTTATATTATACTTATCCTAACATAATTAGTGAAACATTTTCGCCTTGAAATAATAAACTTAGCTAAATATAATGAAAAAGAGAAATATACATAAACAAGAGAAAAACATGATTATATAAGTATAGTAAAGGAAATGAAAGACATAAACAAGAGATTAATGAAAGCAAAACTTAAGCATTACAATAATATAAAGAAAAAGAGAAAAAACATGATCTTAATCTAAAAATCAAGATGCCTAAATGCATGGCAAATATCTTCTTTTATAGGTCCAAATTCAAAACTATTAATCTGATAACTAATTGTTGAGTGGGTGACTACCTCTTGACTTTGTGACAATCCTTACTTCCTATCTGAATAAAACATCATTGATAACATCATAATTTAAACAAATAGTCTTTATAAAAGTTCTAGAAAATTGTTTCAACTTTCCAACAAAAAAAATTAGTGTATTTGGACTTATAGAACTCAAGATATGGGTTGAACACTGAACAACGTCTAAGCTACAGGACAGATTTCGACTTCTCTTTTAATGCTAAGATTTGAATTTTCAAACGACATAATTGAGTTTGAACTCTTTATGAATGTTTTAGGCCTATGTCTTAGTTTTCTAACCATATAAATCAAACTAAAATTTAAGGTCTATAGCTCCATATATGACACAATAACTAAACAGTATTCCAATTTAAATTGAATCAGCATCTTTTTTCTAAGTTTAACTGTTTCTTTGTCCTTTCACTTTCAATAGTTAATCATATCAATCAATCCTTTGAATTGTGAGATATGCATACATTTAAAATGTGCATTTACCATAAATTAAAGCTATCTTATATCACCAGACTTGTCATTATAAAGCATGCTTAAGTTAGGA